GGGAGCCTAAGCTCCAATGAAGAGTGAGGGACAGATCACTGCCCAGAATAAAGCGTGCGGCTCAGTGTGCTGCTGCCGCTCTGCTGGCGCACCTGCTGCAGGAGTAACGGTGTTGCCTTGCTGTCTGGCTCCCGAGAATGCTTTGTGCTCTACCAGGATCCCCGATTTGGGGGGCTCGCCTTATTTCTAACATTATTTCTAACACTGGGACAACTGATGAAAACTGAACATTGACGGGATATTAGATAACAATGTGGTGATGTTGATTTTCTTGTATTTTATCATTGTACTAAGGCTAAGAGAAAGTCCAATTGTAAGGAAAATATGCTTATTTAGGATAAGTGGGCTTCCAGCAAAGGAGAGAAAGACAGCAAAAGCGGAAACCGTTAGCTGACTGACTGAAGACTATTCTCCCAATGTCTGAAATTATTTCTCACAAGTTTAATTTTTTAAAAAAAAGAACATGTGATTTATGCTCATAAGACTCTTATCTCCTGGGAAAGACAATACATGTAATAACTATAATGAAGAGCTCTGCAGTAAAAATATGACCAAGTTTGAAAGATGACATTGTTTTCATTAGGAGTTGTCAGAAAAGGGTTCATAGAGAAAGGTGACTTGGGCCTTACAGAATGCATTTAACAGCGGTTCTCAACCTTCCTAATGCTGCAACCCTTTAATACAGGTCTTCATGTTGTGGTGACCCCCAACCATAAAATTATTTTCGTTGCTACTTCATAACTGTAATTTGGCTACTGTTATGCATCGTAATGTAAATATCTGATATGCTATATGTTTTCCGATGGTTGTGACCCACAGGTTGAGAACCGCTGCATTAGAAAGTAGTTAATATTTCATTTTAAAAATGACAGCGAGTGAATTCCTGATTATCTGAGAATACATTTACTGGAGGATGGCAATCATGACCAAAAGAGAAAAGGAAAAGAAGAAAAAACAATGTGTGTGGAGGTAAAGCTACTGTGGCACAGCAGAAGGCTGTTCTCTAGAATTACCGTCATCAGCCACCGCCACTGGACTTGCAGCCCTGCTCAGAGGTTTGCCTTAGTTACTCAGCCCCCACCAGGATCCCGTCCGATCAGCCTCACTTCCTACCTAACCATCCTGGGCGGCTGAGACCAAAGTCATGTTCAAAGCCTGTTTCTCAGAACTCAGGAGCTCTTTGAGGGTTTAACTAAGATGGGAAAAACAATAGATTAACAGGGCAGGTGAGGCCAGTAGTTGAAGTAATGGCCTTAAAATCGGCCATTTTCAAGTTCAGGTTCAACTAATTCAAGAACTGGGTGTGTGGGTGGCGGAAGATGTGATGAAAGGAGCACCCAAAAGTGGAGTCACCTGCGTGGCCGGTGTGTCTCAGTGCCTGAGCGTCAACCCTGAACCCAGTTGAGGCACATGTCCAGGCTGTGGCTCAGTCCCCAGTGGGGGCAGGCAGGAGGCAGCCAACTGATGTTTCTCTGTCTCTATCCCTCTCCTCTAAAATCAATAAAAACATATTTTAAAACAAAAACAAAACAAACAAAAGTGGAGTCATCGACCGCCAGCTGAGGGTCTCGGCCCCCGAAGCCTGACCGAGACCAGGAAAGGTGGCACCCTTCCTTGTCCACAATAGTTGGTGAACATGATTGGTAGCTGGGTCTGAATCACAGGTGAGCTAAGGCCCTTCCCTTCTCATCCTCCTGCTAGAGATTTCCCTTGGCTCCTCGACCTCTCTTTTTGGAGAAACAATGAGCACATCATCCCCTTCAGTCATGGCAAAGTAATGGAGGTGTTGACTGCCTCTTAGGTCATCTCTAATTAAAACAAGGATCACTTGCATTTGACCTTCCCCATCAGCATGGGACCTGGCACTCTGGCCCTGGGCTAAGTTGAAGAGGTGTTTAGGGGTCTTTTACTTCCCTGTGGGTTCCCCTTGTAACTCCAGAATGTCCTATTTCTTAAAGATGAACCAGAACCCTGGAGGGAGGAGCAAACACAGCCAGGCACCGAGAGCAGCGCTGACCTCTGATGTCAAGCCCCCACTAAGAAAACTGGAGGACTCACAGACACATCTCATCAGAGATGTGTTCAATTATAATCTTAAAAGTAGGCCCATGTTTTATGCCCTTTTTGATGTCCTATAGCACCTAGTACATAAATACTTTGTGCTAACAAATTTATTGGCTATTTATTAAATACTAGAGGCCCGGTGCACAAAAATTTGTGCACTCGGGGTGGGGGGGAAGGGGGGGTCCCCTCAGCCCGGCCTGTGCCCTCTCGCAGTCTGGGACCCCTCGGGAGATAACGCCCTGCTGGCTTAGGCCTGCTCCCGGGTGGCAGAGGGCAGGCCCAATCCCTAGGTGCAGCCCCTGGTCGGGCTCAGAGCAGGGCCGATTGGGGAGTTGGGGCGCCGCCCCCTGTCATGCACAGAGCAGAGTGGATTGGGAGGTTGCGATGCCACCCTCAGTCACGCTCAGGGTAGGGCCGATTTGGGGGTTGAGGCACCGCCCCCTGTCACACTCAAGGTAGGGTGGATGGGGAGGTTGCAGCGCCACACCCTGTCACGCACAGAGCAGGGCCAATCAGGGGGTTGGGGCGCCTTCCCCTGTCACGAACAGAGCAGGGCGGATAGGGAAGTTGTGGCCCCGCCCCCTGTCACACACACAGAGCCACAGGGTGATCAGGGGGTTTGGGCGCTGCCCCCTGTCATGCTGATCCCTGTGCCGGGAGGCCTCGCGGCTCCGCTGATCCCGGTGCTGGGAGGCATATTACCCTTTTACTATATAGGACAGAGGCCTGGTGCATGGGTGGGGGCTGGCTGGTTTGCCCTGAAGGGTGTCCTGGATCAGGGTGGGGGTCCCCACTGGGGTGCCTGGCCAGCCTGGATAAGGGGATGATGGCTGTTTGCTGCTGGTCACACACCCTTCAGGGTGGGGGTCCCCACTGGGGTGCCTGGCCAGTCTGGGTGAGGGGATGAGGGCTGTTTTCAGGCTGGCGGGTGACTGAAGCTCCCAACCGCTCCTTTTTTTCTTTTTTTCTTTAATTCTGGGCCAGCTTTAGCTCTGGCTCCAGCTCTGAGGCCTCTGCTGCTGAAAGCAGGTATCTGGTTTGTTTGCGTTCTATAATCGAGACACTGTATCAACTCCAGCTCTGAGATCCCGGCCGGCTGGCTGAAAGCGGGTTTCTGGGGTTTTGTTTAGCTTCTATATTTGTTACAATGTTTCAAACTGCAAGCTCAGAGGCCAGCAGCGGCAGGCGGGGAACGTAGGAGTCCTCCGTCACTGGAGCAAGCAAGCCTCATGTTCGCTTTAAGCTGCCTGGCTGCCGGCCGCCATCTTGGCTGGCAGTTAATTTGCATATCTCACTGATTAGCCAATGGGAAGGGTAGCGGTCGTATGCTAATTACCATGTTTCTATTTTATTAGATAGGATTTTAGACTGATATTAATATACTAGAGGCCCGGTGCATAAAATTCATTCACTGGGAGAGGGGGAAGGGGTGTCCCTCAGCCTGGCCTGCACCCTTTTGCAATCTGGGACCTCTTGGGGGATGTCCACCTGCTGGCTTAGGCCCGATCCCCCTGGGTATTGGGCCTAAGCCGGCAGTCAGACATCCCTCTTGCAGTCTGGGACCCCTCATGCCTTACCACCCGCCTGCACGGAGGTGGGAGAGGCTCCCGCCACTGCCGCTGCACTCACCAGCTATAAGCCCAGCTTCTGGCTGAGCAGCGCTCCCCCTGTGGAGCACACTGACCATCAGGGGGCAGCTCCTGTGTTGAGTGTCTGCCCCCTGGTGGTCAGTGCACACCATAGCGACCGGTCATTCTGCCATTCGGTTGATTTGCATATTAGGGTTTTATTATATAGGGTAATTCCAAGAGTACATGATTTCTGAGTTAAGAGAAATAGCCTCCTCATTTCTGGAAATAAAAATTTTTCCATGTTTATAGATTTAACATTTTACTTTGAAGTATATTTTACATTTACTGGAAAGATAATGGAAAATTATAGAACCTTGGTATCCTTATATAAAATTTTGACCAAAATAACACATTTCTCATTATCCTATAATAAAAGGGTAATATGCAAATTGTCCCCTTGGCCAGAAGTTTGACAGGAGTTCAACCTGCCAACCATGCACGGCCCCTCCCCCTGGCCAGCCATCCCCCGCTCCCTGATTGGGGGTGGGGCCAGCTGGACCCTACCTATGCAGGAATTTGTGCTCCGGGCCTCTAATTAAGTTATAAGTCAATCCCCTGGAAACTGTTTGACCTAATTCTTCCCAGCCAAGGCAGCAGGCACCGGCAAATGTGGTGTGTCCAGCTGGGAAGGGTGAGGAGCCCAGCAGGGACACAGGTCAAGCAACTGAAACCCTGTGTCTGAGGGACTGAGGCTCTTCTGTGTTAATAACATGGTTTAAAACAACAGAAACTGCCCACCAACCACTGTGTTTTGTGTGACATGTGTACGTAGAAGTTACCCAGAGCCCGTGCCTGCTGGTGGTGATTCCAACTCCCTCTAGGCCGACCGCCCTCTCAGGAGCTCCCCCGGGAAACTGAGACTGATGAGTTTTTTCTCAAGAACCTGGATTTGGTTGCTTCCTCACTTTAAGCTCAGCACTTAAGTCAAACAATATGTGGTAACGGCCAATTCGCCAGGTGAAACACAGGGACTATGGCAAAGTCATGTGCTTTAGCAAACGAGGTCCACTGACCTGGGACCACACCTGGATGGATAAGCAGCCGCACACCATTCTTGCAGGTAAAGCGCGGCCCACACTGTGGAGAGCAAGGCAGATGACGGAGGCAGTGACTGACATGTCCGGACGAGCTGCAGCCACACTGGAGCAGGCCCTCAGAGGCCGCAAGTCGTTGGACTAGGCTCCAGGCTGAAGTCCAGGGCCACGCCAGTCACACCCGCTCCAGAGTATGCGAGCGCCCTTTGAAGAGAAATACCAGGGTGCAAACCGCCATGGATTTCCATACGACACTCACAGGGGCACGTACCTGTTCCTGCAGGTCGTAGTCATAGCTGTCATGCAGCAGGAGACTGAGGACATACCGCGTGTAGATCATGGCATCGATGCCACATTTCTCCAGCTCCTGTCCCAGCCAGGTCTGCACTGGACCCAGAGCATGCAGCAGAGACATTTCAGAGACAGATACGGGGCCTGGGTCAGAGCCAGAGGAGCTTTCAGGTGGTACACCATCCACAACTGCACAGACAGGGCGCATGAATTCAGGTGGCAGGCTTCCTTAGGATGCAAAGCATTTTCCGTGGCTGACGTGCTGTTGGTGTAGGAGGGGTTTCACTCCGGGAGCGGGGAGAGAGGCGGGGCCTGGAGGGTGAGCATGGGTCTTGCTGGCATCAGCGTCTAGCCCAGAACTCCCCTCTGCAGGCAGAGCCAGGGCGGCAGCATCCCGGCAGCACACAAGCAGGTGGGCTGCTCTCCTAATTCCCCATGGAGGCCGAATGTGAGTCTGCGGCAGAACCTACAAGAACGAGAGAGAGAAAGGTAGGCGTTATATAGAGATAGAAATGAAGTTACTGATCTTTTGAAAATATCCAAATAAACTGTTCCTCTTTATTGAAATACTTTCGGTATCTTAGAACACTGATTTTTTTGTTACTATAACCTTTGACATTTAAGCTAAACGACATTATAAACTTTAAAATTTTTAATATCTTTTAAAAGAAAGGAAAACTCAAATTTATATTCTTGTGCTTGTGCTCCATTAGACTCATTCTTATTTTGCTATTTCAAGAACTAGTCAAATTCTGTTCATACGCAATGCTGAAAGAATTCACCTGGTAACAAATCACTAGTCATTTTTAAGTATAACAAGAACCGAGCAGCTGAATAGTAACGTCACTGAAATACTGATAAAAAGAATTAGTCCTTTAAATTTAAATTTTACCACAAATAACCCATTATTTTGTATGGCTAAAGAATTTGGATTTGCTTGTCACTTATTTCATAAAAACTAGTGAGCCTGGCCAGCATCATTTTTATAAAGCATAATCTCTCTCTGACATGGCACATACAGATTATTTGTGGGAGGTTTTCTCAATTTACTTGTATGACATCACAACTAATCAAAGAGAACCAGATAGCAAACATTATACCTCAGGCTCTCCGGCCCAAATATAAAATGTGGGTTAAAATCCACAGGATCAGGCACCTGCCCCGCTGGCTTGGCTCAGTGGCTGAGCATCAACCCAGGAATCGGCAGGTCACAGTTCAATTCCTGATCAGGGCACATGCCTGGATTGCAGGCTCGATCCCAGTGATTCTCTCATCACTGATGTTTCCATCTCTCTCTCCCTCTCTGAAATCAATAAAAATATACATATTTTAAAAAGGATACACGTAATTTCCCCACCCTAACACTGTTAGTATTTTGGTGTGGGTATTATTGTTTTTTCCTTTGTATAGAACTTAAATTTTATTATTTTAACATGTAGAATAATAATATTTTACATTCTGCTTTTTTCACCTAACATTAGGTCTTCCCAACGCTGTTCTCATGGCACTAACATGGCAGCCACAAGTCACGTGGTGCTAGTGATTAAGTGAAAAGCCAGCTCCTTGGGCACACTCGCCACAGTTCAAGTGCTCAGCAGCCGGGCTCCAGCGTGGCGCAAGGCCCTGCTGCGCTGCCTCGTCACCCCCGGCTCCGACGCCGCCCATTCCCGCACTCGCCAATGCGGGCTCTGCCTCTCCAGCAATTGCCTAGCGGGCTGAGCAGAGTCCTTAGCCTTTTCAGCAGAGTTCCCGCCCCTCCTGTGCCTGTGGCTGCTCCACACGCTCCCTTTACTCCCAGAGCTGGGATGCTCGCCACCGCTACGCTGAGCTAACCATGTGCCCAAAGGAACTGTTTGGGGAATTGGGAAACATCTACCCTTATGTCTGACAGGCCTCAAATTTCAACAGGTCAAGTTTCATCACAGAGTGTAATCACGGAAGGGTCTATGACGAAGTCAGACTGTGCAGAACAGCAAGCACAGCTGAAGCTTACTGCAAAGTAGAAGAAAATTCAGAATAACCAGGACGAGGGCCAGAGGACAAAATACGGAAAAGTTATTTAGTCAAAACAGGGTAGGTTATGCTGCAGAAACAAACCACCCCAAATCGCAGTAGCTTGCTTAACGCAAAGGCCTTTATCCTGCTCATGCTACATCGTCCTGGGTTGGCAGGATGCTCAGTGTGGCCACTCAGTGCAATCACCCCGGGAGACAAGATGGCAGCACGGCCCCAACTTTGAACCCTGCCAGCCCAGGAGCCAGAGAACAAGATCTGTCCAAAGCGTGCGCTGGAGCTCTGAAGCTCCCCCGGAAGTGAGCCACTCACAGCTCCCCAGTCAAGCCAGTCTCCCGGCCGCCCTTCCTCAGGGGGTGGGACACACGCTCTCACCTATGCCCACCGCTGTGGAAAGAAGCGGGAAGGACAGGGCAGGTGTCAGAGCTCTAAGGACTGCTTCCGTGACCGGAAACACCTCTGCAGGTCACACTGCCGCAACCAGCACCCTGGCCACCTTCGATGGACATGCGAGCACAGGTGAACTCAACACTGCGAAAGAAACACTGATCCACACAAAGGCTGGAGTAATATGTCCAGAAAGGTTTCGAAGGCATGAAAACTGCTAACACATTCAGACCCAATGGCAGCGGAGTCGCCGCCTGCCCCCCTCCTCTAGGGAGCTTCTCTGACAGCCGAGGCCACGCGGCTCTCCCATCACCCTCTGCTTCCCACGCCCTCCACCCACACATTCTCCAGCTGCCTCCTGCCTGTGGGCTCCTTCACGATGAGGCTCACGTTCTTTAGGGCCGCACTGTGACATATTCCGTGCACCAGTCAGCAGAAGGCTTAGGCCCTGGCAGGTGATCAAAACTAAGTCAAACTAAATCCTTCCTCATCTAAAGGGGGGGAATAAATTCTGGGAAATAAAACAGTATTTCTAATAACTGGGGGGGGGGGGGGCGCGGCGCCAACGACTCAACTCCTTCCCCCACACACAGGTACTGGAGGCTCCTGTGCCCCAGGCACTGGGCATGTGACCTGCACGACGACCCTTGGGGTTTTCCTTCTGTTTGCCACCCTAGGTGGGTGGGCTTCGGTCTTCATCCTTAGGGAACCAACTTGTACTTCTTTCCCCTGAAACCTGCCTCCTTCTGATCTAGTAAGGTACTCCTGCAGGTCATGCCTTTCATTCGGCATTTTAAATGGCGCTGTCTCACCATACATTTCCCAACGAACTTGCTGAAGTGCTCAGTATGCAAGGGTATGTACTACCTTTTCATAACTCTTCAATTTGGGTGTCCTCAGAATTTTTGCACAAAGAAAAGCCTTTGAAGCATAAAGGTAAAAGACATAAAATATAAATAGAAGAACATAGAAAAGAGAACTTGGAAAGCAAATGCTTGAAATACTAAGATTCTACTACTTCTCACCAAGATCCTAAATAATATTTGCCAGGCAAACCAGAGCTGCACACACAGGACAAGGTAGTTACACGCAATCCTCGCCGGTTATTTTCTGATCTCAGCACATTAATTTGGAACCAAGGTACTGCTTATTCTCTTTGGAAGGTAGCCTGACTCAGAGCCAATCTATAGCCAGAAAAGAAAATCATAGAGACTCTACAACCTAAACTGAAACTATCACAGAAGATAGGACCAAGCCCTAGCCGGTTTGGCAGTGGATAGAGCGTCAGCCTGTGGACTGAAAGGTCCCAGGTTCGATTGCGGTCAAGGGCATGTACCTTGGATGCGGGCACATTCCCAGTAGGGGGTGTGCAGGAGGCAGCTGGTTGATGTTTCTCTCTCATCGATGTTCCTAATTCTCTATCCCTCTTCCTTCCTCTCTGTAAAAAATCAATAAAATGTATTTTTTTTTTAAAAAAAGAAGAAGATAGGACCAAGTGCTGAAAGCCGACCATGGAGACCTGTTTAGCCTAGGCATCTGAAATGGCAATCAGACCTACAGCCCCAGCCCCACCTAGAAGTGTATCAAGTCCTAGGAAATGAACAAGGCTTCTTTTCAAGATAATGTCATAAATAAAACTAGTGTGGGACATAAGTACTTTCTATGCAAATAGAACTGCATAAACATTAAGAAATTCCATTTTCACTAACTAGGTTATCAGAAATCAACTGATTATTGTATATTCTCCAGCGGCCATTAAAATGTGTAATTGTTCTTACAGATAACACTACTACTTGATAGTAACAGGAATTTGTGGGAAGCTGCCTATTGTCTTCTCTAGCAGACAGGTGTGGACAAGGAGCCCAGAAGGCTGGTGACCCTTGAGCCCTGGCAAAGGTCAGAGCTATGCACCCACTGTTTAGTGGAGACAATGATAGCTGAAGCAACTTCCCCATCAGACAGTCTTGTAAATCCTTACTGATAAGATAGTCTGTCTGTTACTGAAATTGCCTAAGGGTTATAGGTGGATCCCAAACTGAATAAAAGGATGGCAATGCCTGAGCACAGGCGGAGTCCTTCCTCTTGCACTGGTCTCCCGCCTGGCCCCCCAATTTCCAAATTATTATTTCTTGTCTCGTCTCTGTCATTTGTGCGCAGCCCCTTCTCCAGAGCCCGAACCCTGAACCATGCGGGACGTGGGTCTTCACAGAATTAGCAAATTACAGGCACAGAGTATTAGTAGACCTCTCTGTTTAAAAGATAAGAAAGAACCAAGACAGAATGATAATACTCTAGGTGAAAGCACTCGGTTCTACTTAGAATCCTAAGTACTAAGCATGTTACTGCCCAAAGTCTTGAGCCCTGTGCTCTGAGGCTTAGAAAAGTTTACTGATGGAGAAGGCGCCAACTGAGAAGCTGGAAGACCTATTTCTCAAATCCCTTTGAAGTAAGTAGAGTTCAGGCTTCTTTCCAGCAAGGGAAGGGGAAAGGGAGGGACAAGAGGTGATGGACAACGGAAGACACCAGCAGGGTCTGAGGAAGAGAGTTCCTGGTCTGCTGCCTAGCTGATGTGAGTCCTGTCACGAGGTCGCGCAAATCTCTGATAAACACCCGCTTCCTTAACCTTCTCGGAGAGGCTCTTTCTGACAAGGGGTTGTTTCTAGAAGAGCTGAGCCAAGAGCAGAGCCTCTGGGGATGAGCATGTCCACATGCAAGACCGAGCAGAGCGTTCAGCACGAAGGCCAGGGGCCCACACAGGCTGACCAAGGCCACGTCAGAGAGGCCAAGCATTTCGCTCTTCCTGAGTGTAAGAGGGAAGAGCTCTCTCTGTCACCTGGACAGTTTCCCGGACAGTTTGGATCGGCCTCTCCTTTTAACTGGGCTGACTACTAAGGAGACACCTGCTTATGTAAAGTAACGCTGTTTCAGTTTTTACTTGACGGGCAGCTATTTGATGACTCATACTTGTTATAATGTTACGGTCAAAAGGAGACCCCTCTCATGTGTGAGATGATTAATGTGTGAAATGTTTGCTGTGTAGAGACCCCAATACTCTGTGATTTCCAA